CATTTCAATGTTTCCCTGTGATTATCATTTCTCGTGGATAAAAGAATATCGCAGAACATCACGTGATTCTCAATGCAAACCGAAAAACATTTCAAATTTGAGAAAAATTTTGATAATCTCTTGTCTTGATGCAGGGTAAGAGATACCACAGTATAATGTATTTTAGCTAGATAGTATATGACAAATGGTATGAATCCGGCGTCACTTGGGCGAAGGTTCCATGGACATTGAATAGGAAAGCTCAGGGATGTACACATGACAGATACTAACCATGAATTGCATATTAAAAACAAATTTCACTGCCATGTATATACATCAGCAGAAGTTTGTGAGTCCCGCCTTATATACGATATGAAAGGCTGGAGAACAAAATGTGTTTGCAGCCACATGGAGGTATTTAGATAAATACAACCGTAATGGCCAGCCTTTGAATACAAGTGTGAATGAAGATTGTTAGCAAAGCCGTGAGCAACAGAACTCCGTGAAAAGCTGGTGGACTGACAGCAGGTTGTTGGATATAATCTTATCGATGGAGCGTGCAAACTTGTGTCTGTCTCAACAAGACGTTTCGAGAGTAAATTGCAAACAAACCGATGTAATTTTGAAAGAAACATTGTAACTGCTAGTGAATAACGTGACCAAGGCTGCAAGGAAAAGGAAAAATATTGACAAGGTACTGAGAAAATAGGACGTAGGACTGCAAATAGACGTTAGAATAGCACCCTAACAGTTAGGTGCAAAAACATAGAGAATGGCAAGAACTATTGGCTCAGAGCCTTTCTCTGGGTACCAAAGCCTTTCATTTCATGCAATAATAACATAAAAGTAACAGGTAGAACAAGGGGCGTCCCTATCCCTCTTTTTACTCTTTTGATGACCTGGTGCCCAGGATAATATAAAGGGTATTATTTGGTTCTTAGAAATTTTTGTCACCATGTCGTCCAAATATAGAGGCCTTCTTCAGTGCTCAATACAACAGTCAGAAATATCGCTGCTACAGAGGAATATCTTTCAATATCATTCTGCCACTGTCTAGCTTTTTCTCTCTATACCTTTTGCCACGTTCCTTAATAGACATAGCAAACTTGGTTGATAACAAAATAAGACAAAGAAAGAAGCTGAGTTCAGAAAACGGCACATTGTTGATCAAAACGTAGAAAGCTGGAGGAGGAAACTCAGTTATCACGCCCAGAACAGGAAAAATGGTTTTCATTCCTTAGTAAGGTTTCAAAAGATATGCCTCAGCAGCGGAACAAATAGTATACATTATTCTAGAGCCTGGTAAGAAAAAAGTGATTCTAAAAAGACTAAAAAAGATAAAAAATGGAATATTCGAATGTATAAAAGAAGCACCCATTAGATTGAACGACATAAATGGTAAAAAAGCTCTATGGAAACTGTTTAATGTTACAAATCTCTTTGTCACATTACGAACTGATGTAATAGTTCAAAGTTTGCTTACATGTATGTAAAGAGCATTGTAATTTGTACTTTAAGACAACAAAGAAAGGAAAGTTTAATAGCAGGAATAAATAGTTATCAAAAACAAAAAGCATTGAAATAATGTATACAGAAATGAAACCCTGGTTACAGAATATCATATTGAAAGCGAGTCTTGAATGGGATATCACATTGAAAGCGAGGCTGGCATGGTATCAGCAAACAATTATCGACAAGAGTCAAATTATGATTCATATTTCCTGTATTTTGATAGGCACACTGAGAGCATGGAGTGAAACTCTAAGTTTAGACGACTTATCAGAGGTCCTGCTTCGAGTTAATGCATAAGTAAGCAATATTGTGTATCTGCCTTGCTGACTATACACGCGAATGCGATTGACGGCATCGCATCGCATCATCAATAACACAACGGGAAAGAAAGGCTTGCAAAGGTGTCAGCAATTCAAATGTCAATTCAGCTTGTTATTAATCAAATAGTGAATCGCGCTAGCAGAACTTGAGTTGGGAATTATCTTCAGCGATCTGCGGGGGATGGTAGCTGTGAGAACCAGTTCTTACGGTGGTAACCCCAACAGAATGCCAATTCAGTTAACCCACCGCAGGCACCAGCGTAAACAGAAAACTGAATTACACGTCGAGAATTGCAATGATCACACGGGAATTATTTGAATCTTAAATCACAAGAATGAATAAGAAGCCGCGATTGATGATTAATGAAAATCTTTTATGCCGTGTCAGGCGTGAATAGATCAACTATTAAGACATGCAAGGTATCATCACAGAGTGGAGCTTACCAGAAAAGATTCTTATTAAGCCACCAGAGAATCACAGCAAGGTATTTGACGTAATTTGAGATGGCCAAGAGGAATAGCAATGGCTTTATCAAGAGAGGGATTAGGGTGCATTTAAATGGGCTACAGTGAATTCCCGCAAAAAAGATCCTAAGAATTCAAGAACCTACACGCTGTCATTCTCAGATTAAGCATTTGTATTTAAGAACCTATTTTTGCCTGAAAACCGTCTTTTTTAAACAGCACTGTCACCTGAACCATCCATTGTCAAGAAACATCCTTATAGCCAGGCATTACTAAAGTTAATCATCGACATACATCAATTAGATAGGGACCGGATGTGAGAACCTTTGACACAGCAACTTATATACGCACAATCAAAACAAGACCAAAGGGCGCCTGCCTCTTCAAAAAGTATCTTAAAGTTCTTTCAAAGAAAGGGGAGTTACTAACACGGCTCTCGTGCCACATGCATCGGCATTTTTATTACCTAACACATCGGCATTTTTATAAGTTAACCTAACCTAACCTAACTTATAACCTAACAAACTAGCTGATTAAAATGCTGTTTCCCAGTTTAAAACCCCAATCACACATAGTCAAATACAAGATGTAGGGCCAAGAGTGGGAAAGCAATAATTATCCTGGCAAGAACTCAAAAAGCAGACCATAGCTGAGGCCAATTGAAGGAAGATACGTCAAGTAAAGTTATGAAGTAATTTTTGATGAGCAGAACTAAGGATGCTATAAAGACGTGCATCAGTTTTTAATGCGTTTGGACCACTTGATTTCGGGTATTATCATCCAACCTGGTTTGAATAGCAGATAAAAAGCGTGGTTCTTTTATAGTGTGGTGCATCTGTGGACAGCAACCATGGAAATTCACAGAAATGTCTAGGAGCACTAATGGTAGCAGCGATAAGCTTCTTTCGGGTTTCCTTTCGAGATTCAGGGTCACTGGCAACAACGTGGGCGTGTTTAGAAACGAGCCACTTATTTGCGTTGGAGGGGAGGCCAAAATAAATTAGAAAAGACAGGATCAAGAAAAAAGCAAGTTTGCTTTTTTGAGCTCCATTTGGGATCCTTATGGCAACACGAATAGAGAAATGCTACGTTTTCGAAAATACGGAAACAGCGACTGGAGGAGTTCAGCTCAAGTAAAACTTTAATTTGTACTTGGTGCAATAAACTGCCTGCCTAAGACAGATTCTAGTCTTATGTATTCTTCTTTTAATAACAATTTAAGATTAGATTGAGAATCCGATCAGCCTAATAAAGGGCAAAGTGTAATTTTATAACAGCCTAGGGTCTCTAAAGTAAGGTTTTCCACCAATAAGCCTAACAAGAATACAGAAAAATAGCAATTCATCTGCATACTCGATAATCAACTATGTGTTTTGGTTCTTGAGAGAATTTCAATTCAGCTGACGAAGGCGAAATCTGAAGAAAGTTTTGCTTGCTTGGAAACATTTATTACAAAAGGCTAGGGGCAATAAAGAAATACTAATAAAGGGGTGCTTGATTTAAAAAAAACTTTGCTACCCTTGAAAATTCAGGAATGGTGTCAGAGAAAAGGACATCCAAGGGGGGGGGGGGAGTTATGGTGAATGTATCACAACAGGCACAAGTATGACATTTTGAAGTCATTTTGAACATCAATGCTAGTGACGGTGGCTGGTGAACTCTGGGGCATAAAAATCTAAGAATCGGGGCAGTTTTAAAAAAGAAAAGTTTGTTTGATAGACGAATCAGACTTAAAGTACACTTTGTAGTTAATTTAAGGAGTATATTAACAAAATAGTCTGCGTTCTCCCAAACGGGAGCAATTTAATGACATCATCTTTAATTCTCTTGGCACGAAATTCAGTGATGGTAACATCAGAGAGTTTCCCCTTCAGCAGATATGTTTATACGTCGGCACATTGAACAAGGGGTTTAGGACGGTTAACGATATCGGCGAAAAACAGCCATTTGCTGTTATTCTCAGATTACGCTTATTTATTCAGGCAAAATCGCCCCTTAAACCTCGACCTCGCGCCACCGGTAAGCTTTCGGTTATCCGCTCAGGCAAAGGAGGCACGTTGCAAAAAATCGAAACAAAAAGTTGTGCTGGGAAAACAAAGTCTGCTTCGAGGCTTATTGCTGTCTCCAAGGAAAAGGCCTACTTATCTACCATAAATACGCGATATCCAAAGCGGTCGAGCGGATTAGCGTTTGAATATGTATCAGTGTAGCGTTTGACCCCCAAACGTTGTAAAAGGAAAATGAAAAGGAGACGTAAGCGAAGTCACTTGTTTTGCGTGATTCATCATGATTCACAGTGATTCACTCACACTGCAAGTCTAAACACTACTTATAATTACTACAACTTGGATTTACAGTCTATTGGGGAGTTTTCAATTCAGACATTCAATAGACTCGTTGAAAGATTTATGTAAAATTTTTAAGGACAAATTCGAGCTGTGATTATAAGCATATATCAGTATTGAGAATATATACGCAAGCTTTATGTGTTGACAAAGTCATATATAAATGCTACATGATTTGACCTTAATAATTGAGAAATGTGGATATTTTTACCAAGGAAGACCTAATAGTCATGATATATGAAGAAATGAAAAGAACATTTAGGTATCAAGTCTTGCGATCTGTTGCAGTTTGGAGTTTCCTCGGCTGATAACATCTGCTATAGAAGAAACAGATTAAAACAAGCAAACCCCAACACAAAACACGGACCAACAAACTTACCAGCAGGTGTGCCTTCTTTAGTAGGTACCACAAGAATTGTATTAGCAAATCTTGGTCTGTGGTTTGCACAATCTGTAACCAAAGAATAATTAATTATAGCAGGCGAAATAACTAATAAATCAAATAACCGTATCTTTTTTTAAATCTGAATTTCGGAGCACAAAAGTCGACGAAACAGCGTGAAATTTGCCAACTAAATACATTGGCATGAGTACTTGCGTTGGTTTTAATATAATATCTAATTAAGCAGACATGTTGGGAAGAATATTGGAATAACTTGACATTGGTCTCGGCAAACAGCCCCTTAAAAGGTATTTACTCTTATAACGTTCAACATGCAGGTTAAAGATTGATCATTCTAAGGCTGTGACAAAATGTCCCCTGTGATTCAATAGAAAGCTTCTCTCTGTCAAAGAAAGTCAATGTTAATATGACTTGGAAAGAAAGAAGTTCTTGATATCTTTCTACTTAAATCAAAGAACTTACAAGTGGTGTTACAAGGCCTTAAAGTGACGACAAGGAAGTCCTTAAAGTTCGCAATTCACGATCTTTGGAGATTTGCTTTGAAGAGAGGTCATGTATTCAAGCCTTTGCTATGTTCATGTTACTTGGTAGGGTCAAAGAAGTGGGGGTTGGACTGAACCATCAGTGGCTGGGGAGGAACCATCAGTGGCCGGAAAGGTCACAAATTTCTACATACTACTGTTGCTTTTTATAAAATTATTCGGAAGAGCCAATTATTTCATCGAAACCTTCGCGAGAGCCTTAGGTTGAAGACATTGGAATTAACTGACTTTTTTGACCAAGATCTCTTCTAAGCCAGAATCGACTACATGCAGAGCTGCTTAAAATGATAAAAGCCCGTTTTATTTTGGTGCACTTAACAGGGACATTCTGAATACAGCAAACAGCGCTTTCAAAGAAAGATTTGCTGTTACAGTTGGTCTTTGTTGGACAAACCTCGGTTGTAATTGAATAAACATAAATTTACTTTATCAATATTGTATTGTGTAAATATTTCCTTCGCAAATTGGCTTAAGAAAATCAGCATTACAAATGAGTTGGAAAACAAAATCTCGAATATTTTAATGGAGGTAGATGTATGGAGTTAGAGAAATCATTATGTTTGAAAGAGTACTGAAAAAAGAGTAAAGGTGACCTCTGGGTGTCGGCGTTTCTACGCTACAAGACATTGTAAAAACTGACTCCAAGAGCCGGAGTAAGCAAATGTCAAACGACAGGCCGACTCGCTCCTACAGGTGTCTCCGTTGGTGCTTTTACAGGCGTCTAGATTTTACTGTCACCAAGTTAGAGTAGAAAATAATAACATTTAATCTTTAATAAACCCAAAGCAATAGATGACGCATTCTCATACTTTTGCGATGGAAGTCTTATCTGAGTTTCAAGTTCAAAATAATCTTATTTCGTCGTATCTAAATCTCATTATGGAAAATACTTATGCAAGAAAACGCAAGACATTTGGCAGAATATCAATCCTGAAATTAACCAAGGCAGAGAGCAACCAAAAAACGAACAGCGGTTGCTAGAGTTTTACAATGCATTGTGGGAAGATGGCGTAGATCCTCTAAATACATTTCTGTACAAACTTTTGAATAGTTGATAGAATTAATACTAGATTTACGCAAATTAAGTGCGCAAAAGGTTGAAACAAAACAAGAACAGAGGATTTTGTTTTTTCATGAAAAGAAACTAGCTTTTAATACATTTCGTGAATTCGTCGAAACGGAATTACTGGATTTGCCTTTTCAAGAGTATGAAAAGCGCGTTAGCACTCGCTTCTATGCTGTCTGCTAGCAAAAATCTAAATGGGCAAACAAAATTAGAAGCATCTTCATGATCTGCTTGCAATGTTAACAATGGAGGGTATCAGATGAAAAAATTGGCGCCAATCCTTGCTGACAATTACCAAAGGCTCATAGCTCATGTGTAGAGACAATTCTAAAGCGGTCTTGATTCAGATGGCCGGATTGCTTCGATCCATAGATAGCTCCCAATAAGAACTATTGTCAAAAGCTTCCACTTGCTTATTGAACAAACAAAAACATCCTATGAACTTGCTTAATGAACAAACACGGGGAAAAATGGACTCAACGAAGCGCCAAGTTGTCAGTATGCTTTCACAGCATCTTGCCACTTCGCAGGAGGGATTTTATAATCAAACAGAAATCGAGTGAAAAGTCGAGAGCGTTTGAACACCCCCCGCTCGACTACACTCAACACTGCTCGACAACGCTCAACAAAAATCGAGAGCAAGCTCAATCACCAACTGAATCGACGTTGCTAAAACGAGGAACTAGCGGAACGTGCGCAAAACTAGCGGAACGACCGAGGAATGACCGCGGAACTAGCGGAACGACCACGGAATGAGGAGAGAACTAGCGGAACGAACAGGGAATGACCGCGGAACAACCCGCTGATCTCAATGGAAGACTTTTTTAGATCGGCTGGAATAAGCCCCCATACCATATAATGTGCAATTTAAACTCCCATAGCAAAAGATTTTGTTGCAAAGAAAATTTCGAGGGCCCTGACAGAATTTCTTTTTTATCTTACATTTCATAATTATCTTTATTGAAGTTTTTTTTACGTTTATCTAGTCTGGTCCATCCATACACCAATTCGACGTACGGCCTCGTTTTGGAAATTTTTGGAAACTTTATTATACGACTTTTTTAAGCTCAGAGTTGGTATTATCACCATAATTTTAGCCTGGTTATAATTTATCATATTGTTTGTGCTTGTATTTTAGATTTTACAGAGAAATGAAGTTTGAAAACTTGTAAGGGATTTGACCGCAGAAATCACGCCCATAGTCAGCAATCACGGTCAAATCCCTTATAAAATGTTTATCTTGATCTCGTTAGAAAATCAATACCATTATAGGTGAGCAATACCATTATAGGAACGCTGATAATGATGTTCCTACAATTGATATTGATATTGAGAAGTTCTGTTATGGATGTGCAACATATTTTTAATCATTTTAATTATTAGTATAGTAGCGAGAAAAGATCACGTGATAATTTTTATTCGTGTATTTTATCTATTGGATGGATTGTTCTCTATTTCTGCTGCTCAAAATCTTTTAATGTGTAGCTAATGACGGGCCATTCTCAAAGAAAACTTGTGAAACCCGAACCTCTTTTTATCTAAAAATAGTCCCTTGCCCGTTTTAACTGATGTTTTGGATTTTTGAAATTCATGGGTTCTCGCACCAAAATTTAGAACCCCTCGATCTGGCACCGTTGTGGCGTGTTCGGGTTCCGAAGACTTAGGCCAAGAAATACTGCAATGTAATTCTGGTTTACATCAATCAACATAGCAAACACAAACTGTACAGATACAGCTGCTAGATAACATAGTTACAGGACAGCAAATCAAAGTTATGAATTAACACATACTGACATGGCACCGAAACCCAGCTAGGGCCAACATTACACCGTGATTGGCTAGATTCACTTCCACGGGTGCAGAAACCCGTATAGTTTACAGGCCACCGGTTCCTCAAGTGGCTGGTTATAAGAGGAGACAATGCTTTCCGAGTCTGTAGAATGCTATACAGTACAACCAGGGGAGTTCGATAACACTTCAATGCATGGACTGAACAGGCATTAATTTAAGGAATTTTCATCACTGCACAAAACAGCGTAAAATGCAGATTTTTGGGGCTAATAGGGTGTGGCTAAGGGTGTGGCTAAGTTTTGACTGAACCTCTTTTGGACGGACCAGTTTTACATTGTTTTTTTCAGTGTAATTTGGCCTAACTACAGCTGCTACTGATTATGTATAAATCTTACCAGAACATATCAAACCTGGCCAAAAGAAAACAGAGTAGCAAACCTGATAACAGGGAATTTTTTTCTTCATTTCCACCCTATGGAGTCAATATAGTATTTCTTTGTGAATGGGGGAAATGGTGTGGAATGCAATTACTGTGTTTGATCAGTTATTGATGGCAAATCAACTGTTTCTAGCTGTTTCTTTTCATAAAATGCTGTTTTTAGGGACTTGATCTCTAATTATGTTACATATTTCAATGTTCTAAGAACTGTCCAAAACACAGCCTTGCTGATATTACATACTTTTTATGTAATATGAGGTTTGTTTATATGATACAAATCTGTAACTGCTACTAATCTTTCAAAACTATACCTGGCTAACTTTATGGATACCCAAACCAAAAAAATTTTTCACCTTAATATAAAACAAAGATAGAAATGGTATTCACTACAATAATTGTGGCGTATTGTATTTCATACAAAAGAAGAGAAACAGGCCGTCATTTGATGGTGGTAGTGGCATTGGGTCTTTTGGCCATGCAATGCAAGTAATCCCAGGTTGTCGGAGGCCTTAGGATAATCTGAAAGAAGAAGCTTGCCTGCGAGCGGAGCGAGCAGAAAATATCTTGTGACCACGCCCCTTAGACTATCTTAAAATGTATTTCAGAATATTTCTAGCAGTTATTTTCTTGCAATCATTTTAAACATACATGCTTTTATTTCATTTGATTAATTCCAGTCTGAAAATAATTTAGATAATTACTTTATAAGACCCCACAGACCTTGGCTTATTCCTTGGAGTCTTAGCAATTACAGGATTTATTGCACTATTCTTTTTGTCTATTTCTTTTCCAATAATATTTCTATTTTATTAAAAACACTTTTTGCATTATGAAGTGCGTTTGTGATTAACTGTATATTATTTTTTTGTTAAAGCTGGTTTTAGTTGAGTTTTACACGTAGATTGATTCTATTATCTCATTTGACTCTTGATTATAGTTTGTATTCATTTGTCTTTATTCTTAAAACATCCAAATCAGTAGTATTTGGAGCATTTCTAAAGTGAAGTAATTCATCACTGCACATTTTTCAATTTATCACTGCACATTTTCGATTCATCACTGAAAAATTGGTCATCACTGCACCTTAAATTAATCCTTGGGACTGAAATAACAATGTTGAACAGTTGTGAGACGGGGCATTGATTGAAGCGGATATAACAATTTCAGGAGATGTGCATACTTCTCGGTAATGGTTCAAATAATAATAAACAAAATTGCGGTAGAATAAGCTTTTATCCCCAAAAGGTTTTCCTCAAATCTGAGGGATGCTCGAGTTCCCTTCGCACCCCACTGGATCCACCCCCTGAAAGTTGTTGCGTGACCGTTGCGAATTTACTGATGAATTTAACTTAATGAATTTACTGACTAAGTAAATAATTACAAAACTGGGCGTAACGTTACTTGAGTACGGAGGCAATGAAAGGTGTTAATCACAGTGAGACGATGGAGGACATGATTACGTCAGAGATAGGTCACTACACCATCACAATACTCGTCAATCCTCTTTGGGTTTGTTCTCCCTTCCTCTTGGAGCTACAGACTATAGTCGAAAATTTATTTCTTATCAGCTTGCTAAATTTTGGAATTCTCTTTCTCTTGAATTGCGTAATACAAAAAATAAACAAATGTTTAATAAGCACCTAAAAATAAACTCAAAAAAAATTCATAGGCCTTCAAATTGTATTTTATGATCACACTTTCGAATTGCACTCCTATTTTCTTTCTCTCTCTTTTTCTTTTAATTTCAGTTCCTTTTTTTATTTTTACTTTTACTGTCTTTAAGTTGTTTCCTCTCTTTTATCGATTCTTGCTGTTATTGCTATTGACAAAACTTCATGTATGCATTTTTCCTTAATTCTGTTTCTTTATATTTATAACATGTAACTTTCAGAATCACAAAAGCTCGAAATCTCTTCTGAGTTATTTCTACGTGTCCTTCAGTATTTCATTTTTAATGTAAAATATGCTTTTTAATCTTACAATATTTTATGTTAGTATTGTCGTATCACTTGTAATTATTTTAAATATACTGATAATAAATGTTGAAGTTGAAGTAAGTTGAATTGCTGTTTTCTTCTTTGATCTTTCCGCCTATCATCTCCTTCTGCGGTCATTCCCTGGTCGTTCCGCTAGTTCTCTCTTCATTCCGTAGTCGTTCCGCTAGTTCCGCGATCATTCCTCGGTCGTTCAGCTAATTCCGCGCACGTTCCGCTAGTTCCTCGTTTTAGCAACGTCGCCAACTGAATACAATTTACATAAAAGTTGGATATCACATGTAATTCTGGTTTACATCAATCAACATAGCAAACACAAACTGTACAGACACAGCTAGACAACATAGTTACAGGACAGCAAATCAAAGTTATGAATTAACACATACTGACATGGCACCAAAACCCAGCTAGGGCCAACATTACACCTTGAAGCAAATTAACCTATCGGTTTCAGAAACTTTTTCACCTGATTCTCATTCTTCAAAAGGGGCGCACAATTTCCAAAAAAGGGGCGCCAGACTTGCTTCAACTCGTCGAGGGAGGGGCAACTGCCCCTAGTTACCCCCTACCCTCTTAAATCCGCCACTGTTTCTGAGATTGTTCTTCGTGCAAAGATCCTTTCTAGAACGACAGTAAATCGTTTACACGCCTCAAGCTGAAACGAATGGTTTTAGCCCGATTAGACCCAAGAGAAAGTTAATCCAAAAGCATGTGAAATTTGAGATTAGATAATCAACTTGAGCCAGTATTTCAAGAAAGCCTACAGCTGCAAAGGCGGGATATATTGAGACTACATAAACAATCTTTGACTGAATTTTGATTGCTGTTGAGTTGTGTGATGAAGTTGCATCGAAACTTTCAATAACATTACAAATAATTAAACAACTCACCGCATAGAGAAGCAATTGATGCAGAAATTATAATGAAGACAGCCAACTTCATTTTCTTTCTTTGACTTCGCACACTTGAACTTCGTATTAAAGTGCAGCATTGAGTCATGGAAAAATAGGCTTTCTCTATAGGGGGTCATTTGGTTTCGGCGTGATCGCTGCTGTTTCATGTGATATTGGCATCCGTTGTTGACAACTTGCTATTAATGAAAATTGTTTTGTCAATCAGTACGAGGGGAGTTCATGTGACCAGTTCAAGGTAGCAACGCAGTCATGAAAATCATGACTCAGCGGATTTTGGCACTTAGGGTATACCATTGGGGTATACCCAGTCCATTTTATCATGACTCAATGCCTTTAAAAACCAATTTATAGTTCCTTTCACCTGTAACACTTTGTTGCCAAGACCCAATCACAATCTGAGTTCGTTTGGTACCGTTCTCGAATATAGAATGATTTGCGCACGTGGAACAAGAACCATTTGAGTCAGAATTTTCCAAAAATAAACCAAAACCTTTTCGAGGCTGTTTACATGACTTTTTCCTGATTGAAAACTTCGTATTTCTGATCCTAATCTTTATCGATCAAATAATCATGCGAAATAACTTCGGTAAAGCTTGCCTCACTTGAAGAGTGAAACCCACACGGAACAGGTTTCTCTATATGATTCCAATTCAGGAAGGTGTTCGAATTCAGCTTGCATTCAGGGTTCTTACCAACTTGAAGATCTCATATCATGTATACAGCATTGATTAGGTTATTGAAATACCATCTCAGCTCTAGAATAGCGACTTACAGTAAGTCACTAACGGCTAGCAAGCAACCACGCTATCTGAAGTTAAGGCACTCCGGCCCCGGCTTGCTAGCCCTTTTTGTTTGATTGCCGGGGGTTTGAAACCACAAACACAAGTCAATCATAAGAAAGTACAGGATAAACAAGTATCCATAAAAATATAAAATAAAGCAATTAAAAGCAATTTGTCGTGTAGGGAAGAAAAAGCATTGATTGGAAATAGATACGGAACTATGTGGATAAATATCAAAACAAAGGGGCGTAGCATATTGCAGTGAAGATTGCCTTGTCAAATAGAATCAAATGTTGTGGTTTAAATTGGATTATTAGAAGATTTCTGATTCAAATATAAGGAAAAGAGTGGGGCAGATTCCTAATGTGAAATTTAATTATTGTTTAACATATATTAAATCTTTTAATTCAGGAATAAGCATTTCTGTCATTTCTAAGCGAAAAACATTACGGTCGAGATTTGAGATACCGCAGCAATTTCTAAGGTGAAACACAATCAAAACAAATATATTTTTAATATGAATGACCATAGATGAACAATTGTTGTATGATGCATTCGAGAATGTTCAACTAACTTTTGTTATACATATAAAAGGATGAAGAATAAGCCTTAATCCGACATTATCAATTGGAACATTCGGAGTATTTCCATTTTTTTATTGATAAAATAACTTCTGAAACATGATGATAAAGAAGTTTTATTCAATACCAATTTTCTCGTTATTTTGCATGAAAGCTCATACAACTAACAGGAGAAATCCGATTATTGTTCCAGCCTTGGAAAATGGGAATGCGGCCTTGTAGAAGGGGTATTGTTGAAATCCAAAAAAATACAAGCAGAATTCCATTTAAATGTTGCTGATGGGATGATTTCATGAGTAAACTATCTAAAAATCAACCAAAAAGCTCTTTTCATATAACTATTTCCTTATATAAAATTTTACCTATAAAAACCTAGTTTTCAATAGCATAATTTGATTTTAAAAAAATCACAGACACTACGACATTAAAATTCTTATTCCTGTTGAGCTTAACTAAGCGAAATAATTTTCAACCGTTATCAACAGAAAATGATAAAATGCTATCAGGGAAATTTCGATTATGTAACACCAAGTGAAGATGGAATATGATGGGCCCCTAGGTTGATCGAAACCAAGTTCAAGAGATGATATTAATTTTAAAGTCTTCTATCGTAGTTGGTTAAAAAGAATGATCACACCGGCTTATTTATGTCGGCAAATTATAATAAGAATGAAAACCTCTGTTTGCAAAGGTATAAGAATTCGATAGTGACTATTGGTGGGAAAATAGAAATCTAGAACCCCAAGGCTTTAGAACTGAGTTGAGGCAGGCATACCTTCTAAAGGAAGGATAATGATTATAAAATAGTCTAGAAATTAGAATTGACATTTAGATATATCGTTGCAGAGACTTTTTCTCCGTGATAACAAGTTTGGATTTTGCAAAAGAATTTTGCTGCTGTTTATCATTCATTCTTGATAAATACCAACTCTATAAATCATCCTGCGTAACTTAAAAGCATTTAAAATAGTAGAGAAATTTGTATTTTTTTTAATTTTTATTAAAAAAGATTGATCCTAAACCATCTGGAGTTACCAGAAAACACCACTATTACTAAGAATTAACAGCTAAATCGTCATAAAAATTGGCACCTAATCTAAGTAACTTGGACCCAGCAACTTACATATGCACCTTTAAAACAAGATCCAGAAAGAGTCTGACTTCTAAAAAAGCATTGTTTTCTTTGCAGTGATCTATTGTACATAAAAGGTCGTTTTTCAATCTTTAACCATATAAGGGGCTGGCCCACGCTGATTTGTCAATACAAAATAACCAACGAACGGAAATTCATCTTAATTGCTAATCAAAGAAAATTAGTGTTATCGACTTGATTGGTTCCTTGTTCTGACCAATCAGCCCGCTCATCCCTCGCATGGTTAACGAGTCCAAGAAATCCATTTGCGAACAGAAACTCCCAGCAAAAAGCACTCTACTTTTTCAAGAGACAGGTTTTTCTTGGTTCTGGCTCGAAAGTTGCATAAAGGAGTTGTTGGGTCTTAGTTTCTTACATTAGCTTCTAAGTTTGATTTTTTGCTGGAAGTACTCATATATTAGGTACTCAATTATTTTCAATGCCTGGTTGAATCCATGGCTTCAGCACCAACAAAAAACCCTCCCAAAAATTAGTATCATAGGTGAGTTTACTTGTTAGATTTATTTCTTAGCGTTGCTTTTTAAATTACGCAGAGTAAAATAACATCAAAAGACTCTAATTGTTGTGGAGATGAGCAAGAGTGGGTCTTCTACTGCGTGCGGCAACGGCTGATCGACTCCCTCCTGGAGTCAAAGAGCAGGCAAATGAAACGAAGTCATTATTACGCATGCGTTCTGACTCCAAGACGGAGGGTTGCCTCGTACATCGAAAACTTCTTCTCGTTCGTCTCCCCAACAACTAAGTGAATTTATTCTGATCTCCTGCCTATGCTTCTGAAAACGTCAATTGAATTGACCTGGGCTCGCAAATAGTGTATCGTGCATCATATGACCTCGGAAATCGTGCAAAAGCTAGCCGCGGACAGAATTACTGAATTAGAATGGTTATTACCGACTATTTCGTGTACCATCATCTACCTTGTTAGTTTTTATCAGATTCTTCTTAAAAGCAATGGAATTATGTTTCTGCTAATAACTGTTCACAACCTGTTGTGGCTAAAACAAAGAGGAAGTAGTACCTTGGAACCATTTCTTTAATTCGTTTATGTGAGTCTAGGTGATATAATAAGATTCTACTGACACCAAAAGCAATATTTTTTAACATACAGATTGCCTTTAGCAATTGTGCAAAATTTTCAAACACAAAATTGAAAAGCAAGAGCGCAAAGCCAATAAAATAAGATATATAGGTTCATAAAAACAAACATAGTTCCGTATAGGTTGAGACATCAATAAGCTGTTTTAAAAAAGAATCAAATTATTCTGATAATTCAACCAATTATCGTCTGATGTTATTGTCAGTACACATGTGCCAATTGGAATGTCTATTCGCAATATATATATACACTTAGCAGCATTGGTGACGTCATAGCAGATGTTTAGGCGAGTATTCCGGTCTTTTGCACGAATACTTAGCAATGATAACTTTGTAGCAAGCAATCTTCAAATAATGTAAGCACAGAGAGATTGCTTTTAATCCTTAAAAAGCTGATCTGGATTTCATGTTGTAATTAGGGAATTTATTCCATTTCTTTTAGTTTACAGGGCAAGTTGTAGGGCAGTATCTTGTATTGATGCTTCTCCCTTGGATGAATAATTATTTTGAGACCAAATGAAACTAATAAAATAATTTCCATCCAAATATTTTCATCTAGCATACGAAGACATGTTTCAGGGCCTGATATCTCAAATGATAACTTCCTACCCCCAATGAATGGATTCACGGAGGTGGTAAAAACATCTTCAGTACCATCAACTGCGAGTAATCCAGCAGTGAGGTGGGAAAATATGTATGCAAGTGACATTGGCTTGAAAAGATGTATAAACACAATAAGAACCTTGTTAATTTGATACATTGGTTTAAACAAAATCCTTTCAATGTTTCAATAATGTTTTGTTATTATTATATAGCTCGTTGGAAATCAAATTTCTCTTTCAAACAATTTCTTAAGAGCAAATATGTTTTTCATTTGTCAAAAACACATTTGAGATGATACATCCCAACATTCAGGAGATAACAAAATGATCTATGCTTAAACTTCTAATTCTTTATACTTGGTTATTGAAACTGTTAATTATAACAATTAATTGTACAAACCAGATTAAGATCTTAGCAAACAAGTTATAGAAAAACCTTAAGATTTAAACAAACTGCGTTGTGTTTTATCCTCTTTTAAGCAACATTCATTTACAGAAGAATCACTATTTATTTCCGATACTTCCTCCCATTTATTGAAATATAGAACATAAAACCAAAACATAGACAATAACCTACGCAACCAATAGAATTTTGCATGGAAACGAAAAATTGTTATGGAATACAACAACATCCTTCTGTAACACGTTTTCCATCATCAAATGGTTATCGTTTTGCATTTTGGACTTGAAGATTCAAATGAGATAAAAAAGGAGTTTACGGGAAAATATTTGTCGACCATTTTGTGTATCCTACACTCTTTTTATGAGAACAATTCTATAAGAACACGAGCCTCAAAATTGGTCAAAAGTTAGAAACAAATCAAGAACAAACTCAGGCAAAGCAACTGTGAGATGCTGTTTTGAACAATTTTTAATCTCAAAAACGAGGTTTTTGCCATCTAACTGTGCTTTTTCAGAGAATTTAAAAATTTGTCGGCAAATAAAGATGTCTAACTCATTTTGTTGGCAAAAGAGGCCTCAGCACCTTCCACAAGGCACAATGGCTAGCAATTGCACTGCTTATACCCTCCAAATCTAAGAACAAATTAAGAAAAATCCAGCCTGAACTTAGGTTTACTGGTTCTTATTGGAAAAATGCATACGATCAATAGGCAAGCAGTCTATACAATCTATGCAAAACTAGGGTTTGATTCCAGCAACGATGATGTTGCCCCTGGGTGCCATGGAAAGAAGGAAACTAACTACAGAGCAAGGGAAACAAATTTTTACTTTCTAACTGAACGCAAGCAAAGGAACAGTCCAACTTGCAAATATAAATTAAGTATCTGAAGTTTTGAAGCAAAATCTCTTGATTAGGATTAAATTGAGTGCTATTGGTGGTGCAGCATTAAGCCCATTCCTAAAATAGGCCTGATAAAAAAAGAGACGAGAATTTTCTGAAACTGAAAAGGCCCGAAAATGAGCCCTCTTTGAGCTGCAGTATCAGGTTCAACTTGAGCCTAATTTGGCACTACAAAACAAGCTTCCCGTATACTGCATCTAATTTGAACTTCAAACTTTTCTGTTTATGGGGATAAATTAATTCAAGTTCATTTTTAAGACCAGTCTCATAATTTCTTTGGTTCCAAATGTTAAATTAGCGGAATATTCTAATGTCAACGGCAAAAATGAAAACCCTGGAGAAAGATTTGATCACTTTTATTGGTACAAGAAAACAGGGACGTTGAAAGGGGGTTAGGAGGGGCAAAAGGTCCGGGGCCCGTGCTCCGATGGGGCCCGTAACAAGATCTATTTGCAATGCAAAAAGCTACTATTTCAGTTATTTATAGGGAATCTACGCCTGTAAGTTTATCACAGAGAAATTTCCACATGCCCTTGATTCATGTTAAGTGTAAAGTGTTGATTTTGCACATTCTTGTAAAAATCCTTAAAAAACTTTGTTCAACAATTGTACCTGAAAAGAGCTATTCCCCTTATCTCCTGCAGAATGACAGGCATGGCAAATTTTCTCAAGGGGTCCAGTTTTGTAAATTACTCCTGGGCCCGAGCTGCCTCTCGACGGCCCTACAAGAAACAATTGTCTAATTTTCTCAGAAGTTTTGTTGCAAAACTGGGTTGCATATCCCCCTTTCGTGCCACAGACATTTGGCTTGTCTTGGCGCCATGAACTCTTTATGCCGGTTTTTGTAAGATTATTCCCAGCTTACAAATTTTGTAAACAAACATTCTTCCATACAGAAAATCTTAAAGAAGTTGTTTCTTTGTGGTTAACCCATTATTTCTACCTGTTTTTCATTTGAACAAATGTTCTCAGCATTGAACGTATGCATTTCCATAACTTCCAACTTCATACGAATTACTTCATTAACAAAATGCTTCATGAAAATATTTCCTTCAGGTACTCTTTTAAGAAGACTATGAATGATGAAAATAATGCTAATGAATGGCACTCACAATTCTAAGTGTCAAAGATTGACTTGAATGACCAGACACTCCCAGGGAACTCAAGGCTACTTTAAAATAACCAAAATTCATGAAAACCAAAATCTCGGGCCAAAGATACTGGTAGATAAGCCAAGGAATGTATATACTAAAGTTATTCTGTAGGGGTAACTCAGAGCTATTTCCAAGTTCGATAGCTTTCTCGTTCGACTTTCACTTAGCCCAAAGCTCCTTTATATATCAGGGCCCACGCCACCAATTTCAAGGTGGATGAGCCAAGTTCAATAAATCGAACTTGAATTTAGTGCTTCAAAACAGGTCCTCTTTGGAAATAATTGCGTTTACCAAAAAAGGGCCATGGCCCCTCCCGTAACGTGGGCCCTGTTTATACCATACAGCATATTGTAAAATACATATTTTGAAACTTACCTCAAATCCCAAGTTTTTACGTACTTCACAACAAGGATGCCAGCCAAACAGAGAGGCTTTAACTGTTCTGAAAAGAAGGACAAACAAGTATAATTTTTCACAAAGTAGTTCTTGCCAGCAAAGGTAAAATCTATAGTAAAAAGGATGAAATATAATCATGACATAGAATAGAAGCTTGTCACGGTTTAGCAAGGTTGCAGTAGAACGAAAGAGTGAGGGTGTGGTGTCAGTCCCATATCACAATTTATCAGCAAAATCATTCTGCCTTGCCTGGAAACACTGTTGGTTTTTTTAATAAACAGACGTAATGTTTCTTAGCTTCAAAGAAGAAAACTTTAACGAAAAACATCAGAATAAGCAGGTCGCGTAAGCAAAGTTTTTCAGTCTAACCGAGGCAACTTCATAATGACATTTCTTGTAACAAGGTAACTTATATCATGGTAGGATAAACTGACTGTACATTGTACCAATTTCTACAAAAGTCGACAAATTTAGAATCATGCTTGGTATTTTGCGTAATTTTCAGTAATAGAAAGATATATCCACTGAGCACGATGAGATTAACCACTGATTTCAATCTCCAAAGTAATCTGATAGAAAAACTATATTCCATAAACTACAAATGTAGTAACTCACGATATTTGTATATGACACCAATTTCTATTAAAGACATATTTTATCAACAAATTTAGAATCATGCTTGGTGTTTTCATTATTTTTAATAACATTTCGCTCCATATTGCAACGTCATCTGAGTGTTTTAAGAGATAATGGCATTCATTTTTATGCTTTAGCAAAATAAATGTAATGTTTGTTCTTTTTGCAAGGAAGATGTCAACGCTGTGAGAGGCTAAAACTGAAAGTAGGATTGGTTTGGAAAAGGAATGGAAAAGACACCAAACCAAAACAAACAGACTGTCCAATTGGTGTTGCCATTAAAGTTTATGTTCTCAAAAACATGACTGGAACTACGGATTGCAGATCCCCTTTCATGATCTCAATGTGAGAAAGTAGGGTGATGAAAAAGTAAACGAAAAAACCTCGACGTATCATACTTCAATAACAAATCCACTGATGAGATTGACCTGTCAATAATACTGCTTAACATAACGTTGATTATCTCCAAAGCCTATTTGCCGTAGCGTCATAGATTCATATATTTCATTAGAATTTTTTCCCTAAAGGGATTAGCTTTAAAGTTTTACTTTTTCAAAAAGTCTGACTTAACCAACGAATCAATCAAGAATCAGGAGAAACAGGAAGATAATTTATTGTATTACGTAGGTTGGAGGTGTCAGTTTGTAAACAAAACGATTTTGCAAGAGGTACAGTATATTAATTTTGGCTTGTATAAAAAGGCAACAATGCAACTAAAAATAAACATATGAATGTTAAAAAAGAAGAAAATGAGTTTTGGTTACTACTTCGGCAGGAAAATATTGCCTTCAGAGTTTTTACTCATTACGTCTACTCGAATGTTAGTAATCAGAAGAACTTAAAATGAAACATAATTCTGGCTTAACGCAAGGACAAATTGTAAACCTCATAAGCAAGTGGTGCAAGTCACAAACATGTCGACCAAGTCAACAAGGAGAGGCACAAATCCCCAACAAGTGGTACAGTAGACGAACAAGTGGTGCAAGTCCCACATAAGTGGTACAGTTGACGAACAAATGGTGCCATTCCCAAACAAGCGGTACAGTAGACGAACAAGTGGTGCAAGTCCCACATAAGTGGTACAGTTGACGAACAAATGGTGCCATTCCCAAACAAGTGGTACAGTTGGCGAAGAAGTGGTGCAAGTCCCAAACAAGTGGTACAGTAGACGAACAAATGGTGCAAGTCCCAAACAAGCGGTGCAGGACACCAACCAATACTGCAAGTGTCAAGAATAATTAGAAGTACAGTAAATAAAACAAAGGTCAATGCTGATGAACTATCACGTTTCCTTACTACTCTTGTTCGAGTGAAAGTATTTAGTAAAAAACATTTTAAAGCCTAAAGACAGTTTTTAAAAGGAATGTTATCCTGCCCAAGTCATTTTAGATGGCCCAAGAAACCAAATAATATACCCGCCTCGTCCTCTCAATATGTTGACGAGGCTATTCTCGAAGAAGATTAGAGGGAGGACGATAATCTCCTTCTGAGGCCAGATATTGATCCAAAACGTGAAATAGTCTGTTACTCTTTTGTTATCGCTGTCCTTCGTTAGTTGCATGTTTCCGTGCCTTTTTAAACCTGTTTAAACTAAAAATGCAGCGTTCGTAAAGAATTAAATGAAGAGATTATGGACTACTGAGAGGCTGTTCTTATGTGCTTCATCTTGAAGGTAAAGTCAAGTTTATTTAGGTTTCCTGAGACTGCAATTCGGACAACAATGAAAAACATTTCAATACTTCTAAGAGTTTCGTGCTAAGGAAATGGAAAAGGCCTTAACAAAGAAAAAGGAAGAACTCACGAATAGGTCTTAATGTTTATTCCTGCTGGAAATCGCCACATGTTAGAGAAAAGAGAGAGGGTGAAAATTTGGGCGGCTTGGAAAGGGAACTAGACCTATTAAGGGACGTTAGTTTTGGATCTCACGACAGGATTATTCGTATTTACAAACAAAGTCCCGGCTTTGGAGTGCACTGCAGTGAAGAGGCAGGTAAAAATGCCTTGTTGACAGCGACCTGCGTCTAGAAGGGAACTTTGGCACAATAATTCGAGTAACTCTCGCAAATTGCTGCTTGTGGTGGCATTTATGGAAAATGAGAATGATTAGATATAGGCCAAGAACAATTGGTATCACAGCCTCTAAGAAGTTGAGCAAAGCCTTTAAGCAGGCCCGACAGAAGAGGGTCTTCCGTCCACTGTTGTTGGACTCGCCTCTAGAAGAGCTGGCACCCATGGTAGGGGCAAAAAAACATGATCTGAATTCAACTCTGTTTTGAACTCAACTTATAAGTACCTAATCAAATTATCTTTGAATCGCTGGTCAAATCAAAGCAGGGCTAAGGATTACCTTGTGAGAGGATTGAAATATTAGATTACTGACAAATGGTCTTATGATAAGGTACGAAAATTCAATCATCACTGTCTGGTTGTAATATCTAGAAAAAAGAGCAACGAATCATAGTGTAGCATCAAATGAGAGGCTTAAACCCAAAACGAGATAGGATACCTCGGTCTCTTTATGCCAATTACTTCGAATAGAATGACCTCGTCATTTCTGACTTCATGAATTTAAACTTAGTACGATATAAAAACAAACTCTGTGAGAAACTCGATCGTCTTAGTTGCAGCGTTCCAAACCTCGTTGTTATGAATACTGCAATGTAATCAGATTAAAGAGGATTTTCTGGAAAATCCTTGAAAAGAATGCTGGAACTAATTCTCCTGACACGAGGGTTCTCGTTTCGCGCTATTCTTTGTGTTTCCATTTTTTTGATAAGGAAAACAATTAGAAGTTCATCCACGAACAAAAGCTAAGTTATCAAAAGCAGGCACAAATGTGAAAGACAATATTATAGGTCACGATAAGCTTGGAGATGAGAAGAACATGCCAATGTTAGGAACATCTTCTACGTAAGCAAATTGTATATCTTGTATATTTTTATCCGACTTACTGATACTCACAAACACGAATTTCCTTATAAAAACATGATTTGAAAGAACGCGAACCTTAAAAATTCCAGGGAAGGCTTAGGCTTGACAATAATACTAAAAACATGACATAGTTTGAATGATGAGAACACTATAGTAACTGGATGGAAATGGTGTGTGGATGCCTTATGTAAAATGATTACATATAATCGAGGCATATGAAGTCGATGTCGTTGTGAAATTGAGAACACAATAAGAATTTTTAAAGCTTTTTTCAAGAGTCTAGGACTTGACCATTCTAATGTTGTTACAAAAAATGTTATTCTTTTGCCAGCATATGTGAACTGAACATCAACCAATTCAATCTAAAGCAGAGGAGCGAGCGCGTCTCCTTGCAGAAGCCCAGCAGTAACGATAAAGACTTCAATTGAACTCACAAGGTTATCTCTCATCATGTAAGAAAATTCGTACAAATTTGTGGTGGAATTAAAATAAAAAAGGGGTTGAAGGTGCCATTAAGTACGAAATCTGCGGTGTAATTAGAATAAAAGAAAGGGACTGTCATTTGAGTTTGCGTCTAAAAATTTCTTTCTATCGGGTCATAGGCGGTTCATTTGAGTGATTTGTTTCTGTGCGGTTTTGTGAGTTTGAACTCTGTATTCAAACGTCTGGACATGAAGTCAGTTTTTGCAACAGCGGTTGCAACTGTTACGTTGCAAAAAGAAATTATTTTCTTCGCATTAAAATATCGCCTTATTCAATGTCAAGACAGAGACCAGAAAATTTGTTCTCAAAGGTCTGATGGCCTACACACAGGTCACTGAAAACAAAGGAATCGCAAGTACTACACTCAGGACACGCCCTGTTTTTACAGTTTTTCGAGAATGGTTTTGAAAATCGTAGATCGTTGATTGAAGGAAGGGATAACTTGCCATAGGTAGAAAAATGGTGGATTCTCTCGAGACTTGTTTCAAAGGACTGTCATACTCCACATTCACTTCCTCCACCACACCCATAACAAGGAAAGCTTTAATCGAGAGGGCTTTAATCATATTCATACTTGCTTTGTTTTTGATTACAATCATTTATGAAGTAAATTAAAATTCATTGAAACTCGGTTTAATGCTAACCTGACAACAAATGTGAAACTGCACCCAATTTTTTCAGTAGATTATTTTAGTTGACATTTTTTGTAATTAATTTGTATATTCTTTATGTAATGGTTTTTATTTTTATATTTGTGTTACCTAGCAACCGAAGGTAGTATTGGAACACTGAAAAGCTATGGTTATCGAGCGGTGTCCTGGTCCTTCCTCTCGATGTGGCCACACCTCGTGATTCCTATTCCTGGAACTCCCCTTACTGTGGACGAATGTTTGGTAATGTCAGGGACTCGAAAGACGCTAACTACTGAGTCATCTTCACATTACGTAATGTCCTTGAGATAGTCATGATGTTTTACCGCCCTTGGTATGGCCCTTG